GCACTAGAGAGGCGACAATGAGACAACCCGCAACAAAGGAACGGTTTACAGCTGGAGGACACTCACATTTTTCAGTCCTCATCTTTTCTGACTGTTTTTTAGTAGTTTTGCTTTTGGCTACTCTCAGTGTCACTACTGCTAGCATGAGACGACACCTGGACCCTACAGAGGTTGCAGAGGTAGTCAAACCCCTCCAGGATGGCACATCAATATGTGCCACTGGCAGAATGTTTGCTATGTCTCAAAAGCATGGAGGAGATTCCAGGAGACGGGCAATTACTCCAGGAGAGCTGGACAGAGCTGTAGAAGGGCCTTAACCTATCAGCAGGACCGGTATCTGCTGCTTTGTGTAAGGAGGAACAGGGTGAGCACTGTCAGAGCTATAAAATGACCTCCAGCAGGTCACTAGTGTGAATGTCTCTGACTTCATGAGGGTCACCTGAGGGCCCTCTAGTGGGTCCTGTGCTCACTGCCTTGCACTGTGATGACTGATTGGCATTTGCCACGGAGTACCAGATTTCCATGTCCATGTAGATGAGTAGTCGTATAGAAAGGTGTCTCTCAGTCAAGGAGCTCAGAATCAAAACACAAAAGCCCGGCACTGTGATTGTGGATTTTCTTAGCGAGTACTGCTGAGGTAAAAGATCTGGGGTGCAGCTGTTCTGTTGCCATCACTCCTGCCTTAAAGCTGGCACTTCGTTACTGAAAGAGGCATCGGCAGGTCATAGCAAGAGTGCGGACAAACCGGGAGGATTATGTGACAGCCTTGGCACACAACTTGAGGGATTGCTTCATCTCTGTTGCTAACTGCAGGGGCATGTTGGCCGAGCTCTGTAACAGAGTTTAGAGCGACATAACTGGGCCTCTGTTCACGAGGACACCTTTTGTGTCGTTGCAAACAGCATGAGCACCAGTTTGACTCATTGTGAAGCTGTCCTGTCCATGCGGTGTTGTTGTTGTATAGATTTTAATTTAGAAATGGAAACTAACTCAAGATGCAGTCTGTAAGAAAACAAGGCAGAAAAGGAAGTGATACCTCTGACAGATGATTGCTGTACTGCTTCTGTCATGTACTTATCAGTTTGGCCACTAGAGGTCAGTGTGGCATCAGAAGCATCAGAATCTGAGAAACTTTATTAATGCCAGAGGGAAATTGAGTTGTCATAGCAGCAAATATACAACAAACTTCAAGCACTCATATAAAATGATTTTAGAAACAGATGCTACTAGAAGCCATAGTTAAATTATACTGAAAACTGGTAGCCTCTCCATTCATTCCAGAGGTTTAAAACGGGAAGCTCGTCGTTGTTTGTTTAGTTCCATGTGCATTTGTCTTACAGTATTGCCAAATATTTTGTGCTGTGTTTTTAGGAGCGGTTCAGCTATGTGTGCCCTGACCTTGTTAAAGAGTTTAACAAGTACGACACAGACGGCAGCAAATGGATCAAACAGTACACGGGCGTCAACGCCATCACCAAGAAGGAGTTCACCATCGACGTTGGGTACGAGCGCTTCCTCGGCCCTGAGATCTTTTTCCACCCTGAGGTACAGAACACGTGGACACGCTTTGCTCACATTTCCTCTAATTTTATTTATATTTATTTATATATATAGTTATATATATATATATAGTTTTATATATATATATATAGTTATATATATAGTTATATAGTTATATATATATATATTTGTTATTATATTATTATTATTTTTAACTTTACCTTTTTGTTTTCATCCAGTTTGCCAACCCAGACTTCACCCAGCCCATCTCAGAAGTGGTGGATGAAGTCATCCAGAACTGTCCCATCGACGTCAGGCGTCCTCTCTACAAGGTAAACGCACGCCTGTCTGCTTCTGTTTGAAACATAGACATGCAGCACATAGCAGTAATTATTTTGTGTTGTGTTACAGAATGTCGTGCTCTCCGGAGGCTCCACCATGTTCAGGGACTTTGGCCGACGCCTGCAGAGGGACCTGAAGAGGACTGTGGACGCACGACTGAAAATAAGCGAAGAGCTGAGCGGTGGGAAGTTGAAGGTAAGGGGGTAGAAGTAGCACGAGGAGCTGATACAGGCAGCTTCACATAAATCTGTGAAACATTTTGCTCTGCAGAAGAACTCTTTTTTTTTCCAAAGCCTCCAGGCTTTTCAGTAAACTGAGCACAAATCATCTTTGTTTTGCAGCCCAAACCCATCGATGTGCAAGTCATCACCCATCACATGCAGAGGTACGCTGTCTGGTTCGGAGGATCAATGCTGGCATCTACTGTGAGTATTTCAAGGACATCTGTACTTTTGCACTGCAATCAGTGTTTTCATCATAGTAGTAAATACCCTGTAGTTACACTCTCTAGTTCTAGTGATGTAAGCTGTACGCTTTTATCTCCATAATATATGCACACCGTTAGTACCCATGTGTCCAGTACTTACTCGCTTTACTACCCAGTACATACCCGCTGAACTATCCAAAATGTATTCTCTTAAGTATCCAGTACGTAAAAGAACTTATTTTGTAAGTTTCCTATATGAAGGTGCGCATTAGAAAGAAAGCTAACAGGCTTCTTTTGCAACATTTAAGCGCTGAATTTCTTTGTTTACACTGTGATGTTTCCAAAATGTTATTCAGTGTTTAAGTTTGCTTTGTTACATTTGTGTGTTGCTTCTGCAGCCCGAGTTCTACCAAGTGTGCCACACCAAGAAAGACTACGAGGAGATCGGGCCAAGCATCTGCCGCCACAACCCCGTCTTTGGAGTCATGTCTTAGGCGATGGAGAGAAAGAATGCATTCAGGGGAGGCCAAGAAGAGGAAAAACAAAAAACGGACGATGCAAGACCTCACGTGCTGTGGAAGTCCCTCCAGCCTTTGCACGGATGCTCCGACAGATTATTTGTATAGAGCTACAGTGGACCAAACAAACTGCCAGAAGAGTGGCAGCATCCTCACAAATTAGAGGAAAGAGGTGACTCAGCCCAAAGGATCCTCAGATAAAATGTTTACTGCAAGTAGGCTGATGATGATGATAATAATAATAATAATGATGATGATAGGTGATAAATCTTTAATTTCTGCGTGCCTCATATATGTACTTACTCTATCCTCACAGGATTGTAAAATGTAATTAATCAACATGAGTCCTGTATAAATGCAATTCTGTGTATATGGGTTGGGTTGTGGTATGTGTTCTGTACTCTAAAAACTGAAAGTGTAACGGTTGTTTTAAGAAACACATCATGCTTTGCTACGCGATTACTCAAAAGCTTGGAGTCACTTTGAAATGTTCTTGTTTTTGAAAGAATATTAGATTTTTTTAAATCTCATGTAACATGAAGTGGATCAGAAATGTATAAATAACTCTGTAGGCATACTTGGGTCCATTTTCTGTAACCATCACTCCTCTTTTAGTGGCATATAGTGTTCCCCAGTTCAAATTTCGCATGTTAAAAGGCCGCTAATTATGCTAGCCTGACTGAAAACTGTCCCGCTGATTTAAAAAGCCATGCGTTTAGTTTTATCGATGTCTGGGGCATCATCGTTTGGGGTCAGTTAAAGTGGAAACAAACAAGGCCTAAAGTGTTCTCGTTCTAAGAACTGAAGATTTCAGTCTGTGGTGTGTACCAATCCTTTCTTCGAAAAGCCGAATCTGGCTTCAGCCACCGGTGCTGAAGTGAATGCATAACTGACCGGAAATAAGTGCATCTTAGGGCTGAGAGTCTCACAGCTTCTCAGGTGGCAGCATCTTTAAATGGTACCTGTAAGAGTAACACTGTTCCAGTTTGTAAAGGGATAGTACACACTGTTGTATGACAGTTTTAATTTTTCTGCAGTTTTCATACAGAGAAAAGACGAATGGTTCAGATTCATTGCCTCTTTAATCAGCACAGCTTTCAGCTTCACTATCATTATTGGAAAAGTTTTTATAAATACATTTATATCTAAATGACCAGTCAACCTTTTAACAAGAACAAAATGTTCTGCTGGGTGATAAAGGAGCGATGCTTGCTGAAAACGAGACTCTGCATGAGCCTACATCGATATTTTAATAATTCCAGGAGCCTCTGTATGTGCATGTGCTCTTGGCTTGTGTCAGCAACTGTTCATCTGATCCACTTGTTATTTGGCGGGCGTATTGCTGGGCTCCCAAATACGTGCAGTATAAAGTGCAATGAAATAATCTGGATGGGCGTTCCTCGTGAGGACAAAGTCACTGCTCTCACTAACTGTGAGGAATCAGGGAACATCTGTAAATGGTAGCTACTCACATAACACGCACTGCCCTGCTTCCATTTAAATTTATTAATAATTTGTGATGAAACGATTAAATCTCAGAGCTTCTCTTTCATTGACAGCTTTTTTTTAAGTGACCCCAAAGGCAGACTTTCTGTGCAGCAGCTTTATGATAATCAAATGGGTGCAAGCATTAAAAAAAAAAGAAGGAAAAAAATAGAAATCACCAAAACAAACTGACCATTCCCATTTCCTTTGTTTTTTTTTAAGTACCCTCAGTACCTGGAAGAAATATCTATTTGAATTTACATGAAATTATTTGCTCGTGTTTGTTTCTTCCTGGTTCCTCCTGCAGCATTATGACAAATCACCACCGCTTTGCTCTTTTTTTAAATCCCCCCCTCATTTGTATGAATCATCTCTTGAACAACCCGTCTTTGAAGGAAAAACAAATCGTATTAATATATGAACATGCAGTTTGAATGACTTGTTGGACTGTCACTGTTGCCTAGATCTCAGTTATACTGGATAGCCTTGTACTGTACCAAATCTGGATTTCAATGCTGGCATTCCAATAAACGCCAAGGAGATGTTTCTTCACGTGTTGATTTCTCTGTTTCGGGCTTTATTATCTTGTTTGCTTTGCTTCTATTTTTAAATGTACCCATCCTATTTATGTGTGTCTGAGCCCTGGCCTCTGTAACTGTATCCCTTCCAACATATGGTGCACATTTATTTTAATTCAGCCACCTTCTTGTGCCCGATTGGTCAGCAGTAAAAGGGAAGCCCTGTGTAGAGTGTCATGCGTAATCGACATGTCCAGCCTCTTAGGAGTCTATCAGACTTTTTAAACATGACATGCTAATAGAGTAAGAAAGAGAAGCACCGAGACGGAGGAATCTGGAAAGATTTAAACATGTCGTCCAGCCTGAGGTTGAAGGTGCTCCTCTTCTTTGCTCTATTCTTTGGAGCAACAGGGTTTCTCTTCCTGATTCTCTCCTGTGGGACTGAGTACTGGCTGCTGGCTGCAGAGTCCTGCAGCAACCCCGGAGAACACAGCCTGAGAGACGGGAAGAGCAACGTGAAGGTATCTGAACTGTGCAGGAGCGACGAGTTGATTTATGTGATGCCTTTTAAGAAAGGGAAACAGTAGTTTATGAGTAAAGATGTATTTATTAACATGCGTATTTAAAATAGGAATATGCTTTGAAATATAAAAGTTACACAAACAGACTGAGTGACTAACATAACATGGAAAACTGTTAATACGCAAAATTTGTCATTTAAAAAAAATGAAAAGCAGATTTTTCCACATTAAAATATGTTTATTTATTAGATAAAACTTAAATGATAGCGTAATGCTGTGAATTTGTATCTAAAATTTGAGTCAACATCATCAATTTATAAAAGAAAAAAGTAAAAATACACAAGAATGTAATTTTTCTGAGCTACTGCAACTGTATTTTAATGGAATACAGGAATTTTTGTTTTTTTATTCATGCAAAATATTTGGTGCCCAAAGTGCTACCTTTTTTATGGGTTTAACAAAAAACAAACAACAACAACAAAAACACTCAGTATAGGATTGCACCAGCCAGATTTCTCCTGCATGGCTAAGATCAAAAGATTGTTACATCTTTTAACACAAATCTATTTTTTCTCATATTTCAGGCCATTCAAAAGACAAAAGTGTGTATAATGTTTTATTATATTTTAAGAAATAAATGTTGACAAATGTTAGTGCAATGCTAGTGATTTTCCATTAGCTCTCCCTAAAGCTGATTTGGGCTGAGGGGCCTGGCAAACCTTTACCATTGCATGGAAATCACTGGACCAGAGGCCAGTACTTGGATTATATGGCAACAGCGTTACACTTCGAATCTGCACACAAACATAAAATGATTTTGTAACAAAAAAGACTGAAAGAGCAAAATAATACTAAAATAGGAGTATAACAGGGTAAGTATAACAAACCAATGTGTCAACATGTTACATGATGCCATTATTTTGTCACAGTAACCTTCATCACCATTGTCAGGCTGCTTATTACACATCACTTTGTTGCTGTCATGTCGCTAGTGGACCGGGTGCAGGCTCTTGTTGCCTAGGTAACCTTGTAACACCCATGTGAACTGTGTTCTTCGCTGTCATTGGTAATCGCTTCAATTGTGCCCTTCAAAGTTGAGAAAAGTTTAACTTAATGATGACAAATTTTATATATATTCAGTCAATTTAATAGATTTTTGTGGAGTAGCTCACAGCACGTCCTATATACTGTGTACCATGGGTTGCATTTCTGGCTAGTTGGTGATGTTTCACATCACTGACCCTTCACATTTGCAAAACAACCAATGTTATTTTAGGCCCTGTGCATGAGAAGGGGCTGAAAAATAGACATATAGTGCACTTGTGCATCAGATACGTTATCTATGACTTTAAATGTCTCCAAATTCACTTTGTAGCTGTAGACCTACAAATTGAATATTTACATATAGTGTCTCTGGATGGTGATACTTGAGACTTAAATGAATGGACAGAGAAAATCAAATCTCGGCCACATGAGAGAAGATGAGGTCACAAAGTTCAGTGTGCCAACTTGCAGTATTCCCCCAGTTGGCTTTTGCACCACTCCCTTCAGACCGCACATGTGCACTTTTTTATGGATCTGCATTCAGATGATCAGGCTTTTATTCTTGCACTGATATCCTTTTGTCCTTTGTCCTGATAGTTTTTGCATTGCTTAAAATTTCAGTATTCTTTCTCTTCTTCTACTTTTTGGCTGCTTTAACTTGGTTATCATGCACTCTAGATTCATTTGAGACTCTGTGAAGATCAAATTGACACACAAATAAAAAAAAAAAACGCCAATCCCATCAGGATGTTTTTGAGCATGATCCTCTTTCAGTGTAAGCTAGAAGAGCTCCAGTGGAGGGTCTCTGGGTGCAAACTTCCTCAAATGTGTCTGTTTGCTGGCAGCCGATGGACCCCCAGTCTTTTTCTGTAGCAGGCTCTGGTTACCCTGACACACTAAACCTGCCTCTTATGCTGTATCCCATAACTTAAACATCTCCCTGCCAGAAAGCACTCACTGCATTTGGATCTTGTTCGTCCTCCACACATTCTTGTAATGAAACCTGGGAGATGAGTGGCTCTGGAGTAAAATTCATTGAGGTATTCATTAAAATTGGCTCCAAACACGGGTCAGAAACAGGGTTTATTTCCACAGCTCTCATCAGATGTTGTTTTCTGATCCGACAGAATTCACAGGGTGTGACCATTTTCCATGAGGGTCTGTTCTGGCGGTGCTCCTACACGGCCTTTTCTCACGATTACTCAATATGGGACCTTTGGATCTGTGAGAACCTTAATTACATGTTTTATAAATGGCAAAAATAACACAGTGAACCTTTAATTGTGACAGCTGCCTTTCCCCCCTCTTCAGCAAACCAGCCTCTACCAAAAGTGTGCGAGGTCGCTTTCCTCTTCCCTTTTCCTGCTAACAAGCCGGTAGAGCTGTGGGATGAGCCGCACAAGTTTCCTGGACAGCCTGTTGAACGCAATGCGGCCACTGGTTGGCATCACTTTGTTATACAAGCGGCACATTGTCACTGTAAAAACAGCACTGAGCACTGACTGGCTGTCGTGTTTTCCTCAGTTTTCAGGATCTGCTGGACCATCTTCTTCGTCATGGGTTTGGCGGCGATCATCATCGGTGGATTTGTTGTCATCTGTGCCGGCCCACTGACCAACCACAAGCTCTATAAAGTGGGCGGGGCTCTACAGCTGCTTGGCGGTAAGGCTAAATATAGAATTGGAGGCTTCTTCTCAAACAGATCCTCAGAAGCTTTCTTCAGAAGGAGACTATCATGAGAACATTTTAAAGTATGTCGTGAGATTTCTGCCCCCCAAAAGAAGAAATTGTATAATTTACTCCATTTGTAATGACAGTTTTGGTCACAGTCCTCTTATCCAGTGTCCATCTGTCTCTGAAATAGGAGAACTATTTTTGTCTGATCCCTTATTCGTTAGAGATCATCACAGCAGGTACACTTTTGCCATCTTTTCCACGCCACATGCGCTTTCTGACACAGTCTGAAGGGAATATGGGTCTCTGGCTAGAATTGAACCAGTGACCTTTCTCTTCCCCAGTGAATCTACAAACCACTACACAGTGAAGCCAGTGTTCTGGCTCTGATTTCTATGACTGGCCAGGAGTGCTACAGCAAACGTAGCCATTAAGTTGTTTAAAGTGGCTTCCACCGCTCATATCCACCTCCGTATTTGTGTTCTTCTGCTCTAATTGGGTAGCTTTGCATGACTGACAGATCAAAATAATCCTAATTTATCGTATGCTGGGCAAACCCTGCCCTCTGTAGGCCACTTTTTTCTGACTGGATGCAGTTTTTTAACAACACCTTTTTTTTACTTGTTTGGATAAAATGTGTTTTAATTTAAAAATCTATTTATGTACTTTCATATCTATGATAAATAATGTAGGATTGTTAAAAAATATTATATTTAATGTGCATAACGTGCAATAATTTTGATTAGCTGATTCGGAAGAATTTATAAATAAAATAAAATTTTGCATAACTTCAAAGACATAAACATGTCTTTTATTTTTAATCCTTTTAAGTAAAGTAGCTTAATTCTAAAAATCATTATAAACATTAATGAATGTTAAACACAAAGTTTCTAGTGCAGATTTGGCTTTGGAATAAAAGAAAACATAAAACAAAAATTGTTCATGTTCAGAAAAATATGTTTTACAATTTTATTTTCAAAATATTTTAATGCTTTCAGCTACACTACAACGAATGTAGAAAGTAAGATTAGTAGTATTAGTGGTATTAAATTAGTTTTAGTAGCATCAAAAAAATAAAAATATTTTAACTAGAAATCACTGACACTAGAAATAATGTAACATTTAATAGAGGTTCACATTTGTTAGCTAACACTGCCTCCAGGTCTGTGTAGCTCAGTTTTAAATGAGAACATGTTTGGAGGTTGTGTTTGAGGAGTTTCATTTTCTGCACATTTAACGTTTCCCTGTTTTGGTGTATTTGTTTGCTGAAGTTCTTGGCTAAACGTTTATCTCAAGAATGTAATTTGAAAGTGTGCGGTTCCAGCTAACCCCAAACACCAATCATCAATACCTTTAGCCTCAGGACATCCTTTCCTCTTCTGCAGAGATCACTCAAGTAAAAAAATCGGAAAAAATCTTTGTTACGAGCCAACATTAGTATGAAAATATTGGTAAGGTTGCAAAATTTAGAAATTAGAAGGGAGGAAAGCCTTTCCCGTGCTTTGGCAAACATGTGAGCCATGTAAAATGTTTTTATGCATGCTTCCAATTTCCTGTTCTACGCAGAGGAAAAACTGAAGAAAAAACAGTCTCATTTCACAATGACTGCATTGTTTGTACTTATGAAGCGGCACGATTTATTGTTTTACTTTGAGCAGTCAAAACAGGCAGTAAAACATGACCTGCTGTGCCACTGACTGGTAAAAACCTGTCCTGCAGGTTTACACGTGTCCCACGGAGTGAGGACAAAAGTGTAGTAGATGACACACTGACAAAACAAAACAAAAAACACAGTATTTAACAGAAACACATCAGCTGAGAAAGGCTGCAACAGACGTTTTGTAAAATGAGTAGAAATATTTAAACTGCAGATGTCATCTGGCATTTTTGCTCCCATTACATTCTTGATTCTCCTGTAAAGCCTGGTTATTATGTCTGTATATCTTATATAGATCAGAAGCTGAATGACCTGCACTGTTTCCTGTGTGTCTGTTAGGCGTGTGTCTGTTCATCGTGGTGGTGATGTATCTGATGTGGATCCAGGTCCTGGACACTCTGGATCAGTTTACCCTCCACCAGAAAGCCTCTCGCTGCCCGTCTTTCCATCTCAGCGTCCAGCACGGCCCCTCGTTCTTCCTGGCTCCGGTGGCCGTCTTCTTCTGCCTACTGGCCGGCCTCCTCTTCGTCCTGGTCGGACGAAGCATCGAGAGTAAAGAGCTGGACAGCACGGACAAAATCTCGGAGATTTCGACAGATGAGCTGTGAATACAGACAGTCGACTTGTTCAAAAGTTCACCGCTCCACGTGTCTGGAGTGAAATGCCGTGTGCTTGGTGTGTAGATGAGTTGCAAATGTGGAGCTGATGATGCTTGAGAAGAAAAACAAATGGTTTGTGGCTTAAAATCAGTCACAGGAGGCTCCTGACGAATCTGATTTTGTCTTGTACCATCGACTGAATGCTGTGATTTTTAGTCTTTTTAGTTGTCTCTTGTGTAGCAGCACTGTAAGCATTAAAGAAATGCTTACAGAGTCCTGGCCAATGATATTCATGCTGTTACCATCCTTTATATACAGTTTACAGTCCATTCAGATGATAGACTGTATATAAAAGCTGGACATAACCAATGTGATGTCAAGCATTGGCATTTGAACTTTCCTTTTTGAAGACCTAATGTTATCATGGCGCCAGAAGTGACCATATCTGGAGTGCTAAGTGATTAGCTTGGTTAGTAAGCTTGCATTCATAAACTGCACATATCTGCTAATTAGTACTAAAGAAATACCAGAATTTAATTCACCAAAACTAAATCAGGCTTCATTATTAATCAGATAAGTTGATTTAAAGTTATCCAAAAGGCATCAGGACCACAAACACAGAGGAGATGTTGAGCTTCGTGAGGCCTCGAAGAAAGCTAATCGCTACAACTGCCTGAGTAGGCTTCAAGCTCCTATTTGAAAATTCATTCAACAGGACTGTTGTTTAATTACTGTAAAGTTGAGCATTACAACAGTCTGTTTACATCATAACATTATAACAGTATAGCTCACACTGAGTCATGTCGGCTTCATTTTTCAGGTGGCCGCCACTTCATCTAAAGTGGAAATGTTGATTGTGTTGTTGCTGTGGGGGAAAAAAGAAATAACTGTGTGTTTGTTTTTAATACAGTGACATTTGATTGACTAGTCAAATGGTTTATGCCATTATATTTTTCTCTGATCTCGTTTTGGTTAGAGATTTATTTTGTTTTTATTTTAATTTACGTGATCGTATCGCGTGTGCTTGAATTACTGTTTACCTCATTGTTGATACATTCTTTTGTTGTAATTGAAAAAAATATACAATTACACAATATAAAAAGTTAAGAGAGGGCATCAAACCAACGTTCATACAGGACAATTTTCAACACATCAAAAAGCATCATTTACATTAAAGGCCTAAACCTTGTGCTCTTTCAGGTTTGTTAGTCATTAACGTGTGTTACTTAAGATAGTAGGATTTAGAGGAACTGCAGGACTTACGTGGAAGTCCAGAGAAGTTTAATATGTAAGAAAAGCTGGTTGGAAACTGAGCTGTTGAGACTCGTTTTAAGGCATTTGACAGAAACAAAGGGACTTTGCCATTACTGTGATGTACATGACGGGACTTGGTGATCCATAAAAGTAGAGTCGACCTCGTAGGTTAAAGCTGCACGGACCTGTGATGGGAATTTTTGCGGTCACCAAACTGAAACCAATGTAGGGGCGTGTACCAACGGGCGCGTACGGGGTTAAAATCAGTTTGCTTACTCAAATATTTGTTCAGTTTCATGTTCGACATTTTACTCCAGTCAATAAACTACTGTAACTTTACATTTACTGCATTTTGCTGTTTGTAAAGGTTCGTTTTTTCTCTACTTCTACTCAAAGATTTCATTGCATTGACACAGCATACGGATAGTAATCGAGCATATGTGCATATAAATGACGACCAGAGAGTTCAGATTTCATCTGTTGACAGTTTAAAGCCACAGTTTTTACTCAGTCGCAAGAAAATAACTTTTTTTCCCCCAGTGAGTAATATAATTCTTCTAAATAAAAAACTATATTCTCAAAAAGCTTGATGTTTTCAAACAGTTATTTAGGAAACTGAAATAAATTCTAGACTCATTAGAAAAATAATGTAATTCTTCAAGCATTTTTCCATTTTATGACCTATAACTAAAAGAATTTAAACAAATGTATTGAAAATTATAAGAATATTCTGTGACTTATAAATACTGTGCATCTCTCGGTCTAGATAAATACATGCAGCATGCATCATGGGGAAGATTGCTGACGTGACAGGTGTCCAGATGACACTCATCCTCGGAGGGTAAGCTTAGGAAGTCCTTGCTGAAAAGGCTGGCTGTTTGGAAAGGTTTGGTACAAAAAGCTGCAACAGATACAGAGATGTGCTGGCGTTAGAGGAGCTTCGATCACTGAGTGCAAAATCAATGCAGCGCTTCATGCCTTCATAGACTGAAAAGAAGATTTCTGCAGGGAAAAGGTGCAGTGATTTATTGAAACACGTACAAACATACATATAAATACAATATATAAGGCAAAAACAGTTTGTACAATTCTAACAAGCTTGAAATTCGATATTTATTTTTCAGCACAGTCTGAACTCTCTCATTAAGTCGTCTTCAGGAATAGTTCTCCAGGCTTCTTGAAGGACATTCAAAGCTCTTCTTTGGATGTTTCTGCCTTTTGTTCTGTTCTCTGTCAACATGATCCCACACTGCTTCAATAATGTTGAGGTCCGGGCTCTGGGGAGGCTGATAGAGCTCCACTGTGTGATTTTCTATCCAGTACCTGGTTACTTGTTCACTAGTACTTGATTATTATTTCTAGCAAATATAAAGATCTGGATGGATCACATCAGGATTAGTATGATTTAAGAGTAAAATCAGAGGCAAGCAATGCTTGACAGGAAGTCACTCCAACCGCACAGCGATGTCAAAAGGACCAAAACACAGAAAAGCTTCCATCAGTGAGGATAAAGTTAGTCATTGCAAATGATTTTTCTAATCTATTTAACAGATCCCATTGTGATTAATGCTTCCCCGCTCTCACTCTGCCTTTATTATAATTGATAAATCAAGTTTGACAAAAGTTGAAGAGAGGAAGGCCGCTTCAGTGTGCGTGGAAGCAGTGAGTAGATTGAGTGTGACTGTGGCTGCCTGTCATGAGGACATCAGGCTGAAGATCTGAAATGCTGGGTCAGAGGGATGGGGATAATAATAAATTAGACTGTCATAATCCATTTTCTGATAGGAGGGCTGCTTTGGCCTTCATGTAAAGACGTCTGGCAGCCACTAGAGGGCAGAGTCGGCTCAGGATAGCGTTTGGAAGCGTTGCCTCTCACCTCATTAAAATCACTCTTATCCCCCTAGTAGATTCCTTACGATGATGTCCGACAACATGGCAGTGAAATGCAGAGTCGCAGTGCACACATAAGATTAGGTTTGCTAAGGGAGGGAAGCAGGAGTGAAATTTGTAAGTGATAATTAAGTCAAATCATTCAATTTTCTCTCACAAACAAAAGAATTATTATTTTTTCCTTCCCTTGAAATTAAGTATTACTAACATTATATCACAAGGAGGAGGAGGGGGTGGAGGCCCACAGTCACACCTTTTATAATTGGAAAAGGCAAACAGAAGTGAGACCTCGAGATGATACAGTGACGAAAACGAGTCTTTCATTATTCGTTCACGTCTCACGCTCCTGCTCTTATCCGTCCCTTCTCTTCTTAATCTCCGCTGTGAACTAGGTGAGCATAATTACACCTGAGCATGTCACGTTCATTCCCCCAGCTGTCACCAAACATCTCTGTCACCTCCTCGTCGTAGCCCAGGGTTGATCTTTACTTTCTAATAAATGCGAGGAGATCCAGTCACAGCACTTGGTCATAGAGATTATGGCAGATTCATTACTCGATCCAGGAGTGCTTTTGGGAACATGCATGCACTTGTCGCCACTGCCAGGAGTCCTTTAAGTTGCGACATCACACTTTTGCAGTGGACAGAGCTGTCTGCTTAAAGGAGCTTACAACAAAGAAAAGCAACCCAAGGCATTTATTTTACACCCTCGTAAAAACATTGTTTCATAAAAATAAAGAAAGATTGTGCAAAGGTTGATGGATTAACCATCATTCATCAGCTTTAACTAGCAGTTTTTTCTTGCTTCTGTTGTCCTTGTGAATGGAAGGGTGCCAAAACTGGCATCCCAACTGCTGGGGCAGGTCAGTCTTTACCAGCATTTTCCAGCAATTTCTGTGCCATTTTCCAGATGGCACAAAGAGAGGTGGCTGCTTTGTTTCCTGTTTTGACTTCTCCCTTTTCAGCTCCACTGCTGGAATGATGATTTTCTTCTATCATTTAGGAGAAAACTGTCAGCATGCCCCAAGCCCCTGTAAAAATCTTTATGACCAACACATCAACCATTAAAGTGCCCCTTAACCAGTCCCTTTTGTCCTCCCATTCATGTTCCTTTATATTTTTATTAACCTCTGTGGTTTCTAGGAAAGATCTCTCTAAACTCAATGAATACATCAGAAATTTACCTTTATATAGTCGCCTTAGGGCACTTTATATTATAAGGTAACGACACTGCAATAATAGAGAGAAGACTCCAGCAATCAAGCAACTTTGATTGCTAGACAAAATAAGGAGACATCAAACGACGCCCTATGAGCAAGCACTTGGCGACAGTGGGAAGGAAAAACTCCATTTTAACAGGAAGAGATTTAGCTGCAAAACCAAAGCCCTTATACCAGCAATAGCCTAAAGTTAGCTATGCTAGCCCTGCTTACATTACCATTATCAGAGTTCACGTGATGCACCAACCAGCAACTTCATTAGGTACACCTTTGCTGGGTTGGAGCCCTTCTAATTAAAGAGCTGCTTAATTTCTTCATTGCAGATTCAACAACAAGGTGCTGGAAATTTTGGTCCATGTTGAGACGTTAGCATCACACACGTGCTGCAGATTTGTCTCGTTGTGGAGGCCATTTCAGTACAATGAACTCAGTGTCATGGTCAAGAAGTCTGAGATGATTTAAACCGGTTAGCTATGCATGCCCAGTGGCCTAATGCAGCGGTCCCCAACCCCCGGGCCTCGGACCGGTACCGGTCCGTGAGTTGTTTGGTACTGGGCCGCGACAGTTGAGGCTCAGGTGTGAAATGTATGGTTTCCAGGGTTTTTATCGGTTTTCAGCATTATTTTGTTATCTTTAGCTCAGTTTTCCTGGGTCTTTTCACATGTGTTATGAATAAATCTTCTTTTTTTCAGTACCGGTACTAGTTTTATTTCTTGTATTTATCCGCGACACCTTACAGGCTGGTCCGTGAAAATATTGTTGGGCATAAACCGGTCCGTGGCGCAAAAAATGTTGGGGACCGCTGGCCTAATGGAAAAGGCCCTGGCCTCCTAAACCAGGGATCGTGGGTTCGAGTCCCATCTGAGGTGATTTCCAGCAGTGGTGCAGCGGAAGCGTGCTGGGCCCATAACCCAGAGGTTGAAACCATCCTCTGCTAGGGCTTTTAGATAGCCAGCTTTCTCTCATTAACGCAAGTTGTCTCTAAATGCACTCACTGGTAACGCCATTTCTAGTACTGGGCTGCATCCCTTTTTCCCTTCTGATCTCCTTTAGTTCTTCAACAAGTTGCTAGAAACATTCCTGAGAGATTTTGGTCCATGTTGGTCCATGTTGACATGATAGCATTACACAGTTGCTGCAGATTTGTCAGCTGAAGAGAAACTCCTGTTTCACCACATGCAAAAGATACCCTGTTGGATTGGTTGTGTGGGAAAATCCCAGCAGATCAGCAGTTTCTGAAATACTCAGAGCAACAACCACGCCACATATATGTGATATATATGATGGTTGATATATATGACACATGATGTGCGGCCCCAGTGGCCTAATAGATAAGGCACTGGCCTCCTAGGCCAGGGATTGTGGGTTTAAGTCCCATCTGGGGTGGGTCCATAACCCAGAGGTCAATGGATCGAAACCATCCTCTGCTAATACTTCCAGATATCTGAGTTTGGTGGTTCAAACTGATGCAGCTCTTATTAAATCTGACAAGCGTTTTTTCACTTTAGTTTATCTGAAACTCATGGTTTATCTTAGGTTTTTCCAAAACTTCTCCAGGCCTCGAAAATACTGTCACATTGCATTTTTCCAGATTCTTCATGGCCTTTTAATCCCTATTCCGAAGATTAAGTTACCATAAGATATCAGTGACTAGATTTTGTAGGGTTGTGGATAACATTAAAAAAATAGGAGCAAGTCCTATTTTTAGTCCTGAGAGACTAAAATAACATCTTGGCATGTGGTTTTGTTTCCTGATGATGCTCGAATACAGTGCCAATGATCAAAAAGGCAGGCTTGGGTTAATGTATGTATATAATGCCACTGA